CAGCCAGATCAATATCTGTAACCAATGGTGAGTTACGAGCCGAAACATAAAGGAGTTTTGAACGCGCATACACCCGTTTGCCGACGACGACACGACATATCCCTCAAAGGACACACAACAATGATACGTAAAAAGGCCGGCCGTTCGAGTTCCTGGATACGCCGTGCTATTATCCTGAATTAGGCGCGGATTCGTTTTGGATCGGGCTACCGGTGTTTGGTCGATACTGTTTTGTCTTCATCCGGGAAAAATTAACCATTATCTTTCATGTTGAATTGGGGCACTAGCGGGGTTGGTTTAGACGGGGGTAGACCTGGTTAAATGTAGAATCACATAAATATAGAATATCAATGCAAGGGCATAGGTTTTCACGGCCAGAGTCACGATTAAAGAGAACAAAATCCGTGCTGGTAGGCCGTGTCTACTACGACAGACTACGTCTGAGCGTTGACTACGAGGACAAAAGTTACATCCTCAAGTCTCAGCAACGAACGGTGCTGAGATTTCTATACTTCGTCTGCGACATCAAACGAAACTTTTGGTACCCCAGATTCCATTTGTTCTCTTCAAGAGAAACAGAAATTGTTCACAATGAATTTTAGTGCAACACGGCGTGACACTAATATTTAGGCCAATAAAAACGAAGTTTGCTGACCTTAGACGAAGTCTAAGCAACAACACCCGGGGAAAACCGGATTCCTTGTAGCTGCGGGTCGGTCTACATTGGAACTAAAAAAAGAAGTGTAGTTTCCCGTTTTTCTGAACAAGAGAAATTGTCGACCAGAGAAATTCAGGCTAGAGACAATTTGTTGATTATTTCTATTGAGCAGAGTTCTCTTTAGCAGTTCACCACCAACTCGAATACTGCTGCTTTTTCCAAAGATACTGTATCGGGAATATGTTTACTGATTTATGTGTGAGGTTGATTTCTATCAAGAATCTCCGCACATAATCAATGGCGTAGATTGTAGCTTGATATCTCAGTCAAATTTATCCATCACATTGCGAATAGTCCTTTAGTAAGACGATTATGGCGACCGTAAAATCGGCGATGCGCGCGGTACGTTGCCCGTAATGAGACGTTTTGCATAAATGATGGATATGATCTTAACATGATTACCGGTCAATTATATTACTCTAATGACATCGCAAGACTTTTGTCTCAAGCGCTTCAAGAACAAATCAACAGTATTTCCTCAAGCCACGAAACCGCCTTATCGAATACAACCGATAACCCCTCTATCGGATTAATGGTAAACATATTTTAAGCGATTACCCTCGATGAGGAAACGGAGAAACACCCGTCGAATCGGCAGAACAGAGAGAAAGGACGATGAGTCGATATATGGGAGAGTCTTTGGTGTAACGAAGGGTCGCAGGCCGGGGTTGTGGGGGAAGGGTTTCCTGCTTTTTGTCCCCGTCAAATCCGAAACCGTACAAGATATTGATTCTGCTCCTGGTAGTGGTGCAACGCAATGGGATCTAGACCACGTATTTATTTTTATGGAAACTGTTCTCGTGTAAGCGATGCAATGTCTCCGATTTGCTTGCCGATTGCGCAGAAATGATGCAGACGACGATCCATGTCGTGCAAGAGGTAGGAAAAAACATCGAGTCTGAAAAACGTAAAGAAGGACCTGAATATCTGATTTCTTGATAGGAATAGGAATATTTTGACTGAAATGAAGTTCAGAATATCGAATAAATATATAGTTTCAATTTTGAAATTACATTGAATTGTTGGGACTGCTTAATTAGGCCACTAAAATTCATAGAGGATGAAGTAGCGAAAACTCATGCATTTAAAAGGTTTTCTAGCAGCTGCACTTAAGTTACAACCGGAATAACTCTCTATGACTATTGACAAAGTGTCGATTTTATAACCGTTTCTAGTTAGCGATGAAGCTTAGTTTCTTTGCGGACAACCAGTACCTTGACAATGGTGATTTTCCAAAAAAAGTCGTGTTTTTCAGCATGAAACAAAATTCAACTGTTTGGAGAAGTAGTGTGGAAATACTTCATATAAATTTTTGCGATAAATGTTGATGAAAATTTAATCAGCGAAACTTGTGTTGGGCATTGCATGTCATCACATATCTGATGTATGAGAAATATACATGTATGTCTGATTCATTCTATAGTTGAAGTTCCAAACACCACCATGTATTTATAATTCTCCAACATTAATACAAGTTTCGACTAGACCCCAATCATTACCTCGTGCCGAAAACGCAACTACAATCTATCGTCGTTTTCAACATGAACCAAATTATTGCCAATGCCAATGACTGTAATTTGCGACTTAAAATAGCTTTGCGAGAATGCATAATGAAGCTCATTATATCCATCAAAAGTGTGATGTTTGTTCTCATTATCAAGCCATGAACTCCACGTCATACAATACGAGATAAATCGATACTGAACGTAACCGTAATGTCGAGTTATTACCTTTTATCTTATAGACTAGAGAATTCTGAAGAAAATACTTTTCTCGTCGTCTTTTTTCTCTTGTTATTTTCTACCCTATCGGAGGTTGAACATCATATGGTTAAAGTTGTTATTGACAGTCATGTTACTAATAGAGGTTTATTTTTCTCCTGTTGTTTCATCCAGTTATACAAGGAACTTGAATACTACTGCGGCACAGCCAAAAACAAAAGAGTGCCCTGCTGTTGTGATCGTGGATTCGTCGTATTTATCAATTCTGTGATGTATCATTCACTATTTGTTAACTGTAATGGTGTAAACATAGATGATTAATGTTGATCCGAGTACTAATACAATGAATCAGACACTGTCTACCGCGCGGACGATCCAGGTTCGAATCTCTTAACTATGAACTTTTTTTAATTAAAATCACGTGACTGGAACGTGACAAGGGGGCCGAGGGATGAGGCAGAGTCCCAAGGTGACCGATAGGTGAGGCGGAGTACTAAGGGGGCCGAGTTCCATGCTTGAATCTTTACGATACTCGTTCCATCCTGCGTCGATGACGTCACACGTTTCCCCCACTCCTGTTTGAACCAAAAATTGCAAAAAGTCTGTCTCATAGTCTGTAATCTGATCAAAAACATCTACTTGCTGATTCCCATTTCTTGCTTTCGATAATTGTTGCCCGTCATGAAACTGGTGACTGATACAGTATGAATTCTATGAACATCTCAACAAAAACACGCTTTTCAAAAGTAGAATCAATTAACAGCAACTGATTCCACATAGACATGGACTTTGACTTTGAGAATTCCTTCATTGTTGAAGTTGAAGATTTTCAAAACAAGATTTCTAAATCCGGGAATGTTGAATTCATCATTGATACTGTCATCAAATGTATATGATTCTCGTTTTCCTTTGTAAAAGTAAACATCGCAGGCTCTCAGTAACCAGAACTAGTGATTGGGAACAGTAATTATATCATGGTGGTTTAATTACATTGCTTGGTTTTGGTCAACATAATTATAAGCAAATAATTGTCTTCTGAATACCCCTTATGAGGTACCATATCAAAAACATTCTTGTTGAATTTTGTTAGCCGTTTCCAGGACCATTTCCAGTAAATTCAGCACACTATCATTTCCATTATAACTTCATAAAACAGTCGTTAACGTTATATTCATCGAGTTGCCATAGAGATTAGAACGATTTCTATATTTTTCACCTCACCATGCCTGTACATGCCACTCGATGCTGTGTTGAACGTGAAGCATATCGAGTGAGATTTTCCAAAGTTTGTTCAAAACTGTGAGTAGATAAAGTGATGAGTTGGGCAACATACGTTAGTGTCTATTAGGGAGTTTCCTGAATTTCTGAACATCAAATCACAATAAGTTAGGTCTGCTCATTTCCTTTGTGTTTCCTCGTTTTTATGTATTTGTTGGAATTACGCCTTCCTCTGCATGCCACTTCTTCCTCGTTGGGAAGTTACTTCCTAATTGTATAACGAACTTAACTACAATGTCTTCATAATTTCGCAGTTCATCGTTATCTGAATTAACATTTGATATATATGACTTAGTCACCCTAGAGCAGGGAAAATATAATATAATTGACTTTACATGTAGTAGGCCTTTGATATCATAACAAGATATAACATTAGTCCATCCAAATCGACTATAGTAGCAAAAATACTTAGACAGAAGAATTGGGGCATCTAAATTCCGAGGCACTGATACTGGACAGACTCATATATAAAACCATATATGAGATATCAGTTATACACTGTGTTACTTGAACACATTATACAACCACCCATGAATCAAACGACTGCTAATAATAAAGCAAAAACTTGCTTGTTTGGAAATAACGGAGCAACGATATGAACAACATCAAGAACCAGCATTGGAAAATGAATCCCGTTCATTAAAATCCAATACCTTCTTTACTTTTTCAATAGTCGTCGTCTTCTCTTCGGGAGACCTTTGGATTTTCAGCTTCACATGCATAGCCCCCTTTACGTGGTTATCCAAACTACCCCGGCCTGGATACCGGCGTGAATAAGGGAAGCCCTGACTTCATATTTTGACTAAAACCGTCACATATTGGTTGACTTAACACAATGGATGATCACAACACAAAAATAAGAACCGCAATTGCACATGGCATCCGTGTACCTTCTTTGTAGACGGACGTTATCGGCACGTCCGTCCACTACCACGCCCAACACAGAACTTCCCTGGTCACCATTCACGAATTCATTATGTAATTTTTTCTGGGGTAATTTCAATCAACCCTGAGCTATGAGTAGACTGCGGTTTGGAACGTAAACTTTAGATTTCACCAATCTTCACTATAAGAACCAACTAGATCACCTGATACGTCGCTTCTAGATGTTTTTGAGGGAATACGTGACATGTAAAGTGTAAACTGTCACACCCGACAGTATTTGAAAATAGTATTTTCAAATTGAGATAATTTCCTCCAAAGCCAAACCTTATCGAAGAACAATTGACGTAGTTATAACGTTATAACTTTATTTTTCACAAAATCTTTTCCTTTACTTTCAGAAAACTATGTCAATTGATGGTCACAACTGTAGAATATTACAAAATCTACAAAAACACTCTAGCGATGTCACCTGTTGCGATTTTGCTCCAAATTTCGTTCTAGTTACTGGATCGAGGTAAGGAACAAAATTTTCTCCTTGCATAAAGCTCAAATCCGTCTATTTCAAACCCCCAATAAGTCCACTATAGTTTCAGCGGTACCTATACGAAACTAACTACCATATAAATCTAAGTACTGGATTAAGTTAGTGACATAACTTTCCTAAAAAACTCTAGATGTTTGTGTAACCTCATTGACAATTGAAACACCTCCAACAGCACTGATTTTTATGGTCCGCTATTTACCATGACACTTTTATGAATAATAAGTTTCTAGTTTACACAAATGTTCAAACAAAAGTCTTATTGTTATTTTTCAGTGATAAAACAATCCGAATATGGGACTGGGTGCCACCGTCCGGCTATGTAGAGAGAGCATGCTCACCTCTGAAGGTTCACAAATATCAAGTGACGAGCGTCAGAGTGTCCCCACAGGGCTCTATGCTGGCCAGTTCGTCAGTGGACGGAACCGCCATCCTCTGGAATATACACAACTGCACCAAATTGTATACTATGACCCAGGTTAACGGGGATGCTATAAGAGTGTGCAGGTTAGTATCTATTAGAGTCTAAAGGTTATTCTTATATTAAAATAAAATCCACAAGATTGTTGTGTCGTGATGTGTATATTGTGAGTAATAATGGGAATGGGGTTTGAATTCATCATAATCTTGTGACTAGTTTTAAACTCTACTACGTGATTTCCTAGACTAAACGTGAATACGTATTTCCAGATTTTCACCCGACAGTGCCATTTTAGTAACAGCCGGTGATAATGGAGCTATTTGTGTATGGGATTTGGTACACAGGAGCTTGATCAAGTAAGTAATTTAACGAACGCGCTAAATACGGACATCTACATCTTAGTTTTCTTCTATAGAACTTTGTTTGATCACGAAGGTACCACTCAGTCTTTGGCCTTCACCCCGGATTCGCAGTATCTGATAACCGCTTGCTCTCTGGAAGTGATCAGAATATGGTACGTGCAAGATGTGATTGATACGACGACTGACACCCCATGTACCCCATTAGCTAGAATAGATAACGCTCAAGACATGGGAGTGCTATGCGTGGACATATCCAAACATATCACATTCAATGGTAAGTTGAAAATGAAAGTTGAAACTCCATCCCTTAATGAAGTCGTTGTATGTTGACAGAAAACGATCCGCTGATTAGACAATACCGACTGGCATCTAGTGGCAACACCAACGAAATCAAAATATGGACAATCACTTCGAAATCCACACTGAAACACAAAAATTCGCAAAGTAACGAAGTTAACGTGGAGCTTTTAGACGTTTACGACGGCCATACGTCGAGTGTCACTTGTCTGAGATATAGCAATAACGGTGCCTACTTAGTTTCTACTAGCCTCGATAGATTGGTCAAAATTTGGGATGAGGGGGGAAACTGCGTCGCGTCGCTGCAAGCCCACAGCAGATACGTCAATTGTGCTGCCATTTCGAGAGATTCTAGTCTCGTAGTATCTGGTAAGTAAAAATGAATAATTTAGTATTCGGCGAAACAATGGAAAATAATTCTCTTCGTTGATAATAAGTAGCAATATCAAAAACCGTTAGCTTACACGGTTGCTTAAAATTATTTTGACACAGAGATGGATACTGAGAGGATGGCAGAGATGGATGCAGAACTCTAGTACGCTGTATTGCATGGCTCTATTCACGCATTGTGTTTCAGGCACTGTTTACGTTACAGCTGTAATATGTAACTCCTGTAACTATTAACTTGTACATTTCAAGGTTCTACAGGTTCCAACGACAGGCAGGTGATCATCTGGGATTTGACAGGGAAGATAAGCACTGACACGGAATTGAGTCCTTTCAAAGTAACTGTGGCCAACGCCGAGGCCATTTCCGAATCTCATTTGGCGCAAAACAACAACAACGAAGACAAAATCGCCTTGTTGGAGAAAATGGACGATATTAGCGAGGGCGCTATCAACAGTTGTAGTTTTCACGGCAGGGATTTACTAGCTACTGGATCAGGGTGAGAAACACTTAAATACATGTTTTCACTTACGACTTGGATAGAACTGACCAGCATATACACACATGTATATGTTGGATATATAATTGTAAAACCCTTTATAGTGAAAATCTTACAGTAAAGTGTATCAGTTAGTGTTATTCACTTACGGTTAGACCCTTTCGTGATCTAGCTCCACTTTGATATTTCCTACGAAGTACTTGAATAATATTTTCGTTTCAGAGACAAATTGATTCGACTCTTTAGGATATCAGGAGAGAACAACAGCATAGAAGAATTAGGTTATTCGCCGCTCGAAGGTCACACATACACGATCAACCACGTTGAGTTTTCAAAAAACGGACAAATGCTAGCATCCTGTTCTTTAGATGGATGCACCATCATTTGGAATGCAACGGTGAGAACATTGTAATTATTGAATATGTGATATGTACAGATTCTCTGGTTGTGTTGTTACTTGGTGATTTAAATATATTTGTTTCAGAACGGCGAGAAGATTCGGTTTTTACCGAATAATGTTTTGTCGGTAAAAGTTTGTCGATTTACGCCAGATGATCAGATGTTAGTAACCGCTGGAGACGACGAAAAAATTATAGTGTGGAACTTGAATTCTTTGGAAAAAATTGTGTAAGTCACATTTTGAAGTGAATACAAATGAGATATTAGAGTAATTGAGAAGTGCCAAGTTAATAAAATTCAAAGTGATTGATGCCTTTGGCCCGAATAAATCATTTGTTGACGGAATTATAATCTCGGACTATTCGGCTATTGTTGCTTTACTTTTCGATTATCAAACGAGTCTTTTCGTGAAACCAAAAATTGATACTGTTCAGCAGCGCATCAAATACACATATTACCGTTTTGAGTGTGGAAACTTTGCCGGCAACAATCAAGTCTATAGGAAACTTGAACGTGTATGGGTTATTATAAAAAATAACGTGTTCTATTCTTGTGATTGAAAAATTGTATGCGCGACGGGCCTAAATTAAAAGTAGTAAAAAGTGCTTGCTACAGAATAGATAGAACCCAGAGCATGAGAATTAGTTTTATTTCTCCGTCCACACAAGAATTTTTCAACTTGAAATGATTTCATTCTATCCCTAGGACCTTGGAGGCACATATGGACTCCATCCCCTCGGCCTGCGTTACCCCCGACGGGGCACTCCTAGTCACCGTGTCGCTGAATGCCGACTTCAAGGTCTGGTCCGTCGACTCCTACAAGTGCCTCTACTGCAAAGAAGACGCCCACGACTACGGAGTCCAATACTGTGATATCTCCCAAAACCTCGAGCCAATTCCCAACGCCGTCATCGATGCCCAGTCGTATCTGCTGGCCACGTGCGGGAATGACAGCCTGGTCAAGCTGTGGAGAATGTCCGTGCCCAAGGTGAATATAACGTGGAAAGAATGCCCCAAGGCTTGTTCTTGGGGAGTATTTTACTTGGATCTTGTTCTTCCGATCTTGGGGGGTACTTTACTTGGATTTTGTTCTCCCGATTTTCCTTTGAGAAGAGGAAGTCAATAATGCCTTGATTTCTAGCATAACGGCACCCTTCAACTAGAAGACATTGACGTGAAATTGTGGCGATCCCTACAAGGTCACGGAGGCAACGTTATATGCGTAAAGTTTTCGCATGTCGTTGGAGAATTTATATGTTCGACTGCAACTGATCGGTGAGTAGAAGTGTTGAGCATGTTGAATAGCATTTATAAATTGAAAATAAAGAAAAATCAAGCGAACCACATGTTTTTATCTCAAAGAGAGGTAAGGTATCAAGGTATTTTTCTGAAAATTTCGTTCCAGAATGCTTCTATTTGTCACGTGACAGTTTTACGTCACCAAATTCATAGTGTTTACCTTAATAAACATATTTTGAATCAAGGGAGAACTTCTTAGAATCGTCTTCAGAAGCAGTAGGGAGTGAAGTGGAAGAAACAATCTAGCCTTTAACAAGGATGATGGGGTGAACAAGTGACGCCATGGCTCAATGCGCCTGAATTGAAGCAAAAGCCAAAAACATTGACAAAGAGAGAGAGAGTGACGTCATGCACTTTGCTTGGTTTTCTTTGTCACACAGTGAGTTCTTAAGGACCACTATTTAGGTACTTGTGTTAAAATTTTACTTCCATCACACCCAATATAGTTATTAACCCTACTGACTCTTGTCTTCTGCTCTGGTTTGACTTGTTTCAGTGGAATGACCAACATTTAATCATAGGTTGAACTGTTTGGTATAATGATTATCTCTAATCAACGAGTCTTGACTTAATGAGTAAAATGTAATTACAGACAAGCCAGGATATGGTCACTGTACAGTGCTGACTGCCTGTACGTACTAGATCACGACTCCATCGTCACATCATGTTCCTTTAACGCCGACTGCTCTCTGCTTGCCACCGGATGTCTAGACAAAACGTTGTGGTTATGGAAGTTGCCGCAGCAATTGGTGAGTTGACAGATTGTTAGTTTTTGCATTTCATTATCTTCCACCAAAATGGCGACACTTCACTTCTTTTTCAGGTATTTCAAACAGTCGTCGCTGGTAAAATCCACTGCAGATCGAAACAGACGGTGGACTGGTCAACGGCAGACGTTGTGAAGTGGATTAAAGATATCGGGATGCCAGAAATCGTCCAGCGGGTACAAAATTCCATGCTAGATGGTAACAAGCTCTTGACGTTTTCTGAAGATCAAATTTCCACCGGGTTGGACTTGGGTAAGTCGATAACAGTCGCTGGTAACTAAACGGTTGAAGCTTTCAGAAGGTTCTTGAGCAACTTTCTATGTTTGATGCTGAGTATCTCTAAGCGGAGATTCTACTCACTATATTCACTATTATTAACAGATCTCACAATTTCAATAGGTGGTTATACATAAAACAATATTGTGAAACGATAGAACTATCAATATAATTCAATATTTGAAGATGATTTCATGCAAATGTTGTCCGCGGCGCCGCTTTAGATGGCCCATGCGCAAGGTCCAATTTTGGCACACTCTCTCTAACATATCGACCGGTATTTCACGTATAAATGCTTCAGTATTGGCTTCCAGAGCGTCAGTCGTTGCTGGTTTATTCCTGTAGACATGAGCCTTAACATGACCCCACAAGAAATAATCCAAATGCGTTGAATCACACGATCTAGACGGCCAATTGACGGGCCCCAAACGTGAGATAAACTGTTCACCGAAGACGGCTCTTAATTGGGCCATTGTTTAACGTGGCGTGTGGCATGTGGCACCGTCTTGTTGAAACCACATGTCAGGCATGTTCAATTCTTCCATTTGGGGCAACAAAAAGTCGTCAGCCATCACACGGTAGCGCTCGCCATTCACAGTAACGTTCCGGCGATAAAAATGTGGATTTTCCTCCAACTTTGCCAGCGCCCATTCACCAAATGTTAGAAGTTGTGGGAAATCGTGTGGCTTCAATTCTTGCACCAGCTGTATCTTATAAGGTTTCACACCCAAATCCTTATTCCACGTAGTGAAGTAACAGAGGCCTAATTTCTACGAACAGCGACGAATCGACACTTCACGGTCATCACGAACACTGACGGATACAGCCGCAATATTTTCTTCGGTCCTCACTCTACATATGCGTGTTGGTGGTTTAATGTCCAATAATGTAAACTGGGTTCGAAATTTAGTCACGAGCTTCCGAATAGCTCCCTCAGTAGGCCGACGAAGCTGCCCATCAATTGGAAGAAGTGCACGATGCACTTTCTTCATCGAGAATGAATTTTGATAATAAATTGATGGATGTAGCCGTTACTACGTGGTAGGAAATCATAATGAAAAGAGAAATGACATAGAAATTTTACTCCGATTTGCTTGCCGATTGCGCAGAAATGATGCAGACGACGATCCATGTCGTGCAAGAGGTAGGAAAAAACATCGAGTCTGAAAAACGTAAAGGACCTGAATATCTGATTTCTTGATAGGAATAGGAATGTTTTGACTGAAATGAAGTTCAGAATATCGAATAAATATATAGTTTCAAATTTGAAATTACATTGAATTGTTGGGACTGCTTAATTAGGCCACTAAAATTCATAGAGGATGAAGTAGCGAAAACTCATGCATTTAAAGGGTTTTCTAGCAGCTGCACTTAAGTTACAACCGGAATATCTCTCTATGACTATTGACAAAGTGTCGATTTTATAGCCGTTTCTAATTAGCGATGAAGCTTAGTTTCTTACTCCGAATAGAACTTACTTACCATCTCTTATCACTAAATATTCAAACTATCCAAATCAATGCTTTGAAGTAACAGGATAACTCCCAAAGAACGCATTGAATTACTTTGATTGGTTGATGGAGACCACAAGGTTCAATTTCTGTACTGATCCTGTTTCTGTTTTAGACTGAACGGTTTTCTTAATGAGACGACTTTTCTAATCCAGAGCTTTGCGGACAACCTGTACCTTGACAATGGTGATTTTCCAAAAAAAGTCGTGTTTTTCAGCATGAAACAAAATTCAACTGTTTGGAGAAGTAGTGTGGAAATACTTCATATTATGGTCCTATGTTTATATGTATTGAATGTATATTCACATGTTTGTTTGTTTACATATTTATAAGTATAAGTTGACATGGTCGATACCATGTAGTTGGTCCATGAATGAATAAATTTCTTTCTTTCTTTCTTATCTAGCGATAGATATTATACAGCCCTTCTGAAGTGCATATGTAGACTAGTAGAATGAATACCCAGGTTACTCAGTACAAGAGATACTAACTTAACCAGAATATAAATTGTCCTTGCGGTAGTGGACATACAAATTCTTTTTTTTTCAAATCACATTTGTAAAGTCCTAGAAAAAGTTTAATTGTTATAGAAACGTTTCGTGGTTTCATCCCATCATCAGTATGGTGCAGCTAAGTGCAAGGATGGACTACGCTTGCATTAGTGCTTCTTTTGTCAATCCAGTGTTGCCCATCCTTGCACTTACCGGATGTCTAGACAAAACGTTGTGGTTATGGAAGTTGCCGCAGCAATTGGTGAGTTGACAGATTGTTAGTTTTTGCATTTCATTATCTTCCACCGAAATGGCGACACTTTACTTCTTTTTCAGGTATTTCAAACAGTCGTCGCGGGTAAAATCCACTGCAGATCGAAACAGACGGTGGACTGGTCAACGACAGACGTTGTGAAGTGGATTAAAGATATCGGAATGCCAGAAATCGTCCAGCGGGTACAAAATTCCATGCTGGATGGTAACAAGCTCTTGACGTTTTCTGAAGATCAAATTTCCACCGGGTTGGACTTGGGTAAGTTGACAACAGTCGCTGGTAACTAAACGGTTGAAGCTTTCAGAAGGTTCTTGAGCAACTTTCTATGTTTGATGTTGAGTATCTCTAAGCGGAGATTCTACTCATTATATTCACTATTATTAACAGATCTCACAATTTCAATAGGTGGTTATACATAAAACAATATTGTGAAACGATAGAACTATCAATATAATTCAATATTTGAAGATGATTTCATGCAAATGTTTTCCGCGGCGCCGCTTTAGATGGCCCATGCGCAAGGTCCAATTTTGGCACACTCTCTCTAACATATAGACCGGTATTTCACGTATAAATGCTTCAATATTGGCTTCCAGAGCATCAGTAGTTGCTGGTTTATCCCTGTAGACATGAGCCTCAACATGACGCCACAAGAAGTAATAACAGAGGCCCAATTGCTGCGAACGGCGGCGAATCGACATTTCACGGTCATCACGAACACTGACGGATACAGCCGCAATATTTTCTTCGGTCCTCACTCTACGTATGCGTGTTGGAGGTTAATGTCCAATAATGTAAACTGGGTTCGAAATTTAGTCACAAGCTTCCGAATAGCTCCCTCAGTAGGCCGACGAAACTGCCCATGAATTGGAAGAAGTGCACGATGCACTTTCTTCATCGAGAATGAATTTTGATAATAAATTGATGGATGTAGCCGTTACTACGTGGTAGGAGAACATAATGAAAAGAGAAATGACAGAAATTTTCATTTCTCTTTTCATTAATTTTGATAATAAAATTCAATAATTTGCAAGCGTTGTTCATTCGTAAGTCGATTCATGGTTAAGTTACAGACCAAACTGAACCAGTTTGACAATGACACAAGACACGATTCACGCGTGATCTGTCAAAAACAGTGTTACCAAAAAGATACCAGCGAAATTTCACTCATTATATTGTGAATGTGGTTTTCAGAAATCAAAGTAACTTCTTTCAAATGAGGTGGTGGATTTCTGGATTTTATTTCACGATTGATATCTACTCGAGGATAACTTTTTATAAATCTTTCATGCTTCCCCTCATTTCTCGATAACATGAATTCAATATTTTCAGAATTATTTTCAACAAACTCAAACAACACCATCTCAACATATTTTCCTGTGTTTCATTGATTACCTTGGTCATATTTTTAGAGTTCAAACATCTTCCAGCGTTCGCCACTACATCATCAACATATAACAGGAATAACCGAGGTCCAAGGACACTTCCTTGAGGTGCAACTTGGTGATTTCTGACTTCTTCTGGTAGCACTTCGCTCAAGTGGCTCTGACTTCTATTATCTGAATGAGGCAGCTACACATTTTAATCTAGTACATATTATGTAGATTCATTCATCCTAAGAGTGATTTTTTAGCAACACTTTCAATATATGACCAAATCTTATTCTACTTTTGAGGCAGGAGAAGTTGTAGGCGTCTAAAGACGTATGCAGAGGTACAATTACCATTATATTTATCGCAAATCTTGTAGTTTGGTGATTTTCTGTGTGTATTTTCCTTGGCTAAGTTGAAAAAATCAGGTCTAGTCTACTCTGTTGAAGCAAAGTATGCGAAAATGTATGACATTCTATCATATTTTTCATTAGTTGGAATAAAATTTTCACTTCCTATCCTCCAACCCGTGTTAGGAATCACACGTTGAAAGGTAAGACCTCGTTATTCCTTAGCTCGCACAAGTTTCGACTTTTGAGAGTTGTCATTTGTAGGGGGACGACGGCTAGTTAACAGAAAAACATATTTTATATATTACTCTTTATTAGCAAATAATTCTCTTCATAGTACAGTCAGTCACTTATAAAATACAAAACAAAAAATATAAAAATAGAGACAAGTCACATTGTAAAAACAAGAAACAAGAAAACAAGACAAATTATTGAGGACTATCACTTGAAATATATTCAATACATTTTCTTTTGAATGAGTTTAATGAATCACAGCTTTTTATACGGCTATGCAAATTATAGAGTCACAAACTACATGCTCTACGTTGATTTAAAAATGACCTATTCTAATTCTAGTGGAGTGTTTATGAATACTACTTGTGTGGGTTAACTGATCACTCAGATAATTTGACAACATATTGTGTTTAACAGAACAAATTACACGAGGATCTCTCTAGAAGTAATGCGAAAGTATACGTGGCGAATTTTAACTCCTCAACAGACTAGACTCAACCGCAAATGCGAGAAATAAAATTTGTAATGTTTTCCAATCTTGTTTCAGACGAAGAAACCTCCGAAAAGTTCATCAAAGAACTGCGCTGGCTGAAAAAGGGCGAAACCAAAATGGAGACCTCCAACGGTCTCGACATCCCTTTCGAATTCCTCTGCCCAATCACCCACGAGATCATGAGAGAACCCGTCAGATGCAGCGACGAACATGCCTACGAGAGAAACGCCATCACGGAATGGTTCATGTCTGGGAAGTACACCAGCCCGATGACCAACGAGGTCCTGACCGACACTAATTTTGTGATTGATTCCGATCTGAGGAAGGCCATTCACGAGTTTTTAGATGCAGGGGACGGAGAATGAAGTATCCGGGAAGGTTGATTGAACATGATTGTCTGGTGCATTAAAAAAGAAGGATCAAATACCGTTATTGTGAGCAATGTACTTCATGATTTGTTTTGTCTTCATTTTGATACGAAGGATTGCGAAAAAAAATCATAGAAATATGGATGAAATTATTACCAATTTCTATGTAGATAATTTGGAGGAAGGAACACCAAAATGGGGGGAAAACAATCTATTTCGAACGTATATTACATGACTGCGTACAATTATACTGTTTTCTGCGAATAACTGCTGCCCGTCCTTGTTCTTAACTACAAATTACTGATGAGCTAGAAACACGTGGTTGCGGCTTCACATTTTCAATAATTTTCTTTGTCACAAGGTCATTGGTCTTCTACTATTATTTGGTTCTTTATTATTTGTTTCCTTATTGAAATTTTTGAGTGCAGCCTTTTGGCTTTCATAAATTCTATAATGTTATTCCTTCTGCATAATAACACGAAGGTTTTTGGTTGGGGCTCTGATGCAAGGTCATGATTTATGATAATACCATAAAATTTAGGGCTCAATGAATGATAATACCAGGAAAGAAATTAAATTGGTTTTCGCGATATTCAAAGATGAAAGATTAGTGTCGCAATAATTCTTGATACTTTTGATATATGAAGATATGATTTTGTGGGTATCTGAGGTAATTTTACTCGACTGTATAGGTGGCTTTTATGTGAATAGGGTGAACGTACATATAAAAGAAAGCTAATGGTTCCAAAAAAAGTCCCCTGAATCACGCCTCTGTTTATACTAGCTGCAGAAGATAATGTTGCGTTTTAACAATCTAACTTGTACCGGTAAGATATGATTCAAACCACTTATGAGTTTTTTTTCAGTGATATATGTTTATTATCAGAAGAATCATGAAATACAAATCAATTAACAGAGTCTAGCTTAATGAAAGAGAGAAGGAAAAAACACCTCAAAAGTGCTGCTTTGTTCCCTCCTGTTCATAAAAGAGAACATATGCCTCCTCACTCACAAGCGATTTTGGTGAAATTGGGGACACTTGTGAATCGCTGTATTCATTCCACGTGCCACTATACGGGTGTCTGCAATATGCTGTGTAATGTCCGTTGTAGGTAGACCCACTGGGATTCGAAAGTGCATATAGATTGTAACGACAAGAAGCCACATTGTATGTTGCATAATTGCTCATATCTAATCCTTCTAAAGAAAACTGAATGGCAACATTCAATTTGCCTCTGAATCTTTCCATTGGAGAGAATCTTTTTGAATGAATTACTAAAATATGGGGAAACTTATGGATTGATAAGGACTTTGTGCATTTTCTTCTTTCCTGGCACCTCGAACAGATTGGTTATTCATCTCCATCCAAGATTTCCTCTTTTGTGAAGAAATCCAAGCATTGTGACACTCAATTGGCCAGTTCTTTGTGGTATAGGGAGAGACAAATCCCAGAAAGGATCGAAGGTTACTGATGAGAATCCACAGTGTGTGCATTTCATCTTAGAGTTGTTCATGTTCAAGTATCTCAGCCGAAACTCTTTTCGCTTTTCCGCTGTCCCTCAATTTTTCGTCGATCTCCGTTAAGATTGGTTCAGATTTCTCAGTGATTACATTGAGGTCCTCATGTTAACCTTCTAAAAGATATCGAAGGAATTCCTGGGTATCTTGATCCCGTTGATGTCATAGTGAAACAATTTTCTGAGCATTTACCTATCGACTGCCTTGGATAAATCATGAAGCACTACTGCAGGGAAATTATCATTGATAATATTGTAGGGAAGATACAATACGGCATCAACGAAGTACACTTTTTCGGTTGAAATCCAAATTATTCACAGTATATTATATATTAAGTGACATTAAGAAATCCAACATTTTTTTGCTATTAGTTTAGTTAATGAAGGGATGAGACATGTTGGACGAAATTTTGAGAATTCTTCCAAGATCGCCACCCTTGTATAGTAGAATAACCAGAGATGTATTGAGAAGGGTAGGAAAATAGCCAAATTCAAAGAAAGCCTTCATAATTATTGCTGAAATAACTATATTTATTTCAGTAAGATTATAAAATATTTGCATTGTTATTTCATCAATTCGAGAAGCTTTTTTGTTCTAATTGATTCTCATACTGTCTTTTAAATTTGTTATTATCTTGATATGTATTCCATACAAAGTAAATTTATCATTTTTGGAGTATTTGTCAGTTTTTCAGCTACTGTCCATACAGTAAAATTGGTTTTAATCATTAGCAAATGCTGGATTATTCCCAAGAATTATTTTCTTTTCCTCTAAATTCATACAGGATTAACCAGGTAGTTTATAGCATATCTAAGACCTACCTGGAAGTTCTCCAGTATTGTTTAATATATTCAAACAAGGAATCATTGTTGTTAAATTTACTTATATAGTTTAGGGATCATAAATTTCCAGAGAAATGTTTTAATCCTCCAGTAAGCCATAGCTCCTTTTGATTTATTTTCTTTTCCTGGTATGAAAATGATTCCTCAAAGATGTTAACAAAATTGAAGTATACATGCTTTTCGACTTCTAAAAGTCTTTATACATTGGATAGAACAAAGATAATCAGTTTGATGGCTACAAAGTTCTGATCTAGCCATACCTGAAGAAAAATGTATACTTTTCAATAATGCCATTAAAATAAATTTTCCTTTGAAGTACATCCAATCGATATAAAGAAATAAATAACAATATATCATTGATGAAACATTTTCGTACTTGGAAAAGTTGTTTCTAGTTGTTTTCAAACACTAAATAACAACTTACCTGCTGTCCACTGATCCCTTTACTGCAAATATATCAGCTACATTGGCTTTGCTTTCATTTCTATCAGGATAAAAGTACAAACTCACTTCTATACTCTTCCTGGCTGATTTAGATCCAATAACAATAATATTTCAACAAATTACAAGTACAGATGGAATTCAAACAGAAGCATAATTGAAACAAATTCGCTAAAATGATATATTCCAAAATCGTGTCAAGAAGGCTTCGTTTTCAATGTTTATTGCAATTTCAAAAGTTTGGTTCTTCGTTAGTGACAAACTGTCAAATAAGGGTTGAATTTCCAGGATTGATGAATATATTAGTCGAAAGGATTGTTTATTTTGTCAGTGCTCATCACTAACAAGAACTAGTGACGTCACCAGTGGTTAATTCTTGTAATGATAACTTATTACCAATAAATTGAACTATACTATTTTCAAATTATACCTGTGGTATTACAGTAGTAATAAGGTCATTGACCTAAAAGGCATAAAACAAGATGAATTCCTTCAAGAAACTATTGTATTTTAGGGTGATTGTTGAAATTGTTCAACACTTTTAGTTTGTATTTGTGCATAATATTTCACAATACCTGGATTACGGTTACCATAGTTGCTCTAACTTATCGCAATGGTGGTGTTTTGACCTTTTTTATATTAATGCAACAGCTAGGCTGATTAGTATTAAACTCCACCTGTGTCAAAAACTTTTTTGCAAAACGAAAACTTTTACATTTTCTTCGTTTTTATTGAATGTGCCTTATAGTCACCATCAGCTGCAATAAAAATACGAGCACCAAAATTTCTATTGAGGAGTATTCAGCATGTTTCATAAATTTCTTGTAGTACAATAATAATCTTGTGGTAAACTTTCAATCTGTAGCCTGATAGAAATTTAGAAGTTCCCTAAAGGCCTGTGTGGGGCTCTCTTTTATTATAGTGTATGTGAATTATTATTTATTTCAATATTAGATGAATTGTTTGTGTTGAAACAAAATGAAGACTGTTACTATGCCTTGACTATGTATATGAAAAATGCCAGATGGCAATTTACTACTCATCTTTTATTAAAATGTTTACTCTTTGCTTGTATGTTGTTTCTCCTACATAATATTTTCACGGTTTTATATTTGTTATATTCCAATAAAATTTATTTAAAACAATTTGTTAGTTATTTTGATATCCTTGCCATTATTAATTTTTTAATTTTATCTCATCGAATTGATATCCATTAAACAGTCTCAGTTCGTTGAATACTTGAAATATTGGAATTGATATAATAACCCAATGAAAACAAGGCAAATCGCATCTAGCTGGATATTTTCTATTCGTTTCTTTTCATCGTAGGTTTTCCTTTTTTGAGCGATCTTCAATTCCCCGGGGAAATGGACTGTAGTTTTTTGTTGGTTGAAGATGACACAGTAAAATTGTTTTTGGGGTAGCTATAGGGCACTGCCCCATAAGAAACGTATTTGTTCTGTCTTTTTATAGACAAATATAATGAAATTAAGGAAAATATTCAACTGAAATAAAAGTTACCACCGGGTATTTTGTTAATTGCAGTTTCAGGTTTTTTTTGGTTCTTCCTGAGTGACAATCTGTCAAATTCTTAGGATCCAATGACAGGATTGATGAGTATACAGTCGAGAGGATTGTTCATTTTGTCAGTGCTCACCACCAAGAACTAGTGACGTCACCAGTGGTTCATTTATGGTACTGGTATTGCCAATAAATTAAATGATACTATTCACGAAGCACGTATACTATTTTCAAATTATACATGTGGTAGTAAGGTGTAAGGTTAATGTCCTAGAAGGCATCAAAGAATAAACATTCTCATAAATCCTCGTTACTTGAAGAGTAATGTTCAAAACTCTTCTCACTTTAAAATAACAAAAATATGTTTCAGTTCCATATATTTTCAATAACCTTAATAAAAATTACATACTACATGTCAGTATGACAAAAATAAAAACTTCAGCTGATAAAAATAAAAAGCAGCCCACCTAACTACCTAGCTTCCTTCCTCTCCAGCATTCTTACTCAAATGCTGCTTCTTCCTGCGAAATGATCTCCTTTGGCTCTCTTTTTTGCTACCCAATAAAATCCCCTTCTTCCGCAGAGCGTCCAGTTTGAAGTTTTTCGCTTTGATTTCCTTCTTTTTGTCGTCCCCCTTCTTTTTTCCCGACTGGGTGTACAAAACATTTATTCTGCGACCTTTCAAAAACGAATGGTGCTTGGACAGACATTTCTGAAAATGATAATAATAATTTATTTTCCCAATAGACACACGTTTATAGTACGGAAAAACAAAAATTCAAAACTATAATATTACTAAGAATGAATAACTGAAACGAAGGAGGTTACGAACAGCGCCATCTGCCCGCGAATAGATCAAGTAATGTCGATAATTCTGTCAAATACAGATCCCAAGCATTCAAACGGAAATAAATATGAAATGAAAAGGAGAGTTACAAACAAACAAACATACATACATACATACAGGTGAAGTTAATAAAAGCATGTTAATTAATAAAAATGTGATTTGAGCGGAGATTTTAGTCTCGAAGAGGAGCAACGAAGTGCGCAACCAAATCGACCCTTTTTTGGAGCGGATTGTCAGGTGTGATGAAAAGTGGATCCTCTAAAACAACAAGAGACATTCAGAACAGTAATTGAGCACCGATGAGGCATCCACGCACGATTAAATTGAACGAGAATTCACATAGATATTATATTTTAAAGTAGACTAATGAAAAGGGGCAACCCAATAACATCAGATAGTGAACTTTTGAATAAAGTTACGAAAACTAAACCAATTTCAGACTTCAACTGTACAAAATAAAATGACTCGGTAAACACGTTTGAAAACTCAAGACCTGTAATGCTGATTAGTGTACCTGATAGGTTTCTTCGTTGGCAGCCTCGACGTATGCAAAACCCCTAGGCCTGTCTCCTTTCTTCTCTGTGGGTATCCTCACGTGCTTGATCTCTCCACACTTTTGGAAGAGCTCGAGCAGGTCTTGCTTGGTCGTGTCGTACGGGATGTTGCCGACAAAGACAACGTACCGCTTTTGGTTCTTGGCGACAAAGTCGTTTTTCTTCAAGTCATCCAAGTCCACCTCTTTGAGGTTTTTGGGCTCCTTTGCGAGATATTGTACCTTTCAATTGCCTGATGATGAAGCAACTTGTGCTTAATTTATTTGTTAGATCATTAATATTAGTGATAGATTATAATAGACTTTATGTACTATATATTTCAGAGTTATCGAAAACTTGCCTGTGGAAGATGCAGTTTTGAGAATTGGAGGGATTTTTTCACTTTACTGAGTACGAGATCTTTCATTAGAGTTGAAGTTGAAACTAATCTAGCACGTATTGAGCTTCATCTAGCGATAGATATTTTACAGCCCTTCTGAAGTGCATATGTAGACTAGTAGAATGAATACTCAGGTTACTCAGTACAAGAGATACTAACTTAACCAGAATATAAATTGTCCTTGCGGTAGTGGACATACGAATTCTTTTTTTTCAATTCACATTTGTTAAGTCTCAGAAAAAGTTTAGTTGTTATAGAAACGTTTCGTGCTTTTATCCCATCATCAGTATGGTGCAGCTAAGTGCAAGGATGGACTACGCTTGCATTAGTGCTTCTTTTGTCAATCCAGTGTTGCCCATCCTTGCACTTGGNATAATAAACGATATCATTATTATTAATAATGAATTCAGATGTGTATTACAAACGTGTTTCCAGACGGTTTTCTCATCATCACTGTATGTTTAAACAATTCCCAGTCAGAGCTACTTCAAAACAGTAAAGACCAATATTTTTTGGGTGATATACCAAGTAAACAACGGATAAAAAATACATGTCAAAATGCTCCTAACCATCTACAACGCTCACGATATCTCATTGAAAGTTCAAATTGCCGTCCATCCTTCCTTAAACACACTAATATTCGCTCTTGCAATTGTATTTTTATGTCAATTTTCCAGCATTTGTCGAGTCATAGCCATGCAAGCCCTCCTCATTGTTTACTTCAATTCGGCAGTATTGCCGAAAGTTAAACCGAATACCTTATCTGTAATGAAGCTCCACAATGAAAAGTCCAGTAGGGTGAGGTCAGGTAAACGTGATGGCCATTTCATACGAATTGAATGATTTACGTACTATACATATATACATATGATGTACTACCGTTTGAACAGCGTCTGCAATTTTCATCTGTTTGACGTTTCGGATTCTACTTTGGAGCCATTTTCAAGAACCACTTGAAGTGAACACAGCTCCAAGTAAACACAGCTCCAAGTGAATACTTGGAGCTTAACAAAACAGGAACTTTTAGCAAGAGTTATTGAGCACAGTAAAAATAATAAACAAATTACTTCTTCCTCTTTTGATTTTTGTTACTAACCTGAGGCGGCGCAGCTACTTCTTCGTCATCTTCAGACTCTTCATCGTCATCTTCCGATTCTTCTTCCTCGTCAGACTCATCATCTTCTTCCTCATCTCCAGACACTTCTTCCTCTTCCCCAGAATCATCTTCTTCGTCTCCGGAATCATTCTCCTCTTGAGGCTCAACTTCATTTTCTTCTTCGTCAGAATCCTCCTCCGATTCCGGTTCGGCTTTGACCGGGACCTTCTTGGCGGCCTTCTGGTTCTTTGCCTTCACTTGCTGAGCTTTTTTTGCTCCCTGTTGGACTTTATTGTTTGAGTTTTCTTTCTTGACCACCACTTCTTCAGTTGCGGTATTGGCAGCAGCCTTTTTTCTCCTTTCGCGTCTCTTAGATGCTTCCCCTTTGGCATTGGGCTGTTTCTGTGGAGGTGGAGGCGGTTGCTCTCCCGTTGCTATCCTCTGTAGTCTCCTCAAACGTTTCATTCTGCGCAGAGCACTTTTCGAGAGCTCTGACCTTGCCTGGATCAGCTTTAGTTTAGCTTCGATGCTTTTGGCGACTTCCTGCTTCACAGCTTCGTCCTTTGAATTGAGCTTTTCCTTAATACCGAAAAATGGTTTCCTCCTTTTCTTTTCCGATGGTTTTTCTTCTTTCTTGATGGCTTTCTCCTGTTTTACCTTGGGAGATTCGATCTGGGCTGTGCCTCCGAACGGTTTCAACGATTTTGCAGGGCTGCCATTTTCTTTTTTTTGTTTCTTATTGGATTTCTTTACGCTGTTCTGCACGGATTTGTTTTGCTGAGGGGTCTTCAGGGACTCTGAAGCCTTTTGCTGATTAGGAGTCTTCTGTTTCTGAGCCTTTTGCTCTTGAGGAGTTTTCTGTTTCTGAGGGGTCTGAACTTTCTTGGGCGTCTGCACATTTTCCAATTTAGGTTTCTTCGGCGATTCCTTTTTGCCGCCGAAGCTTTTCCTTTTATTGGAGATTTTAGGTTCTACGTCAGTCATTTCTGCAAAGAAAACAATATAAATGAATACACATTGAACAAATCTAAAATGAAAATATTCAGCAAGAACTCTGATCATACACGTTCACATTGATTTAAATAAAATACATAGTAATACTTACTTAAAATTTTCTTTCGAAAGCCGCTATTCAAAAAACGTGATATCAAACACGTTACACGCTACACACACGAGTCTTGCAAATGAACCGGACGCGCGCTTCTAGGTTAGGTTGTGACTTTATGGTATGTTCACAAAATCGTAAAGACGAATAATGACAGGTATAAGTTTGGGGTGGTTTGGGTCACTATTTATGTTGTGACTTCAGTTGGCCATACTGTTTACTCGAAACTTATTTATCTCAGAACAATACAATATTTGATTGCTCTGAGATTTATTTAGGTGTGCTCGTTTAATACAAATCAGAGCGGTCGCTTAGCTCGGCAAGAGTTCGATAATGATTTGTTGCTCTGTGTTGGTTATTTACAAGAGTAAGATCATCTTTGAGATGAGATACATTTTTTAAATTTTCATTTGTCATATATAATATTGTTGGTTGAGATTCGGTAGTTTTTGGAAAAAGACCTTTGGTGAAATTTTTGACTCTTGTGAGCACACGATAACTTCAGAGAAGAGTTTATGACAAATTTTCATTCACATAATGATAACGCAGATCTGTGTCAATTACATCTGCTTTGTGTTCAGTATTTACAAGAGCGAGAGAAAATATAATCGGTTAGCTCCGGGAAAAACTTTAGGATCTGAAAGAGTTATTAGTAGTAATTTGTCGTATTCAATTAAGTTGGGGCCATTTCAGGAAAGTTTTAACTATGGTGAAATTTTTTACTCTTGTCGACACATACTATCTTACGAAAAATGTTGATGACACATTCTTATTGACATAATTATGCCTTCTTCCATACTAGTCGTTCTTGAATAATTGTAAAAATATGTTCGCATTATAAAACGAAAATCGGAAATTACAGTGCTGTTGAAGAAAAAACTCGATCAATCGTATATTAGAGGTTTTATAACAATCAATACCACAAATGGTCGACTTGTCATTCAGATAGAATCAAATATTCGTTAAATACAGTCCGCTCCGTTGATTATTTATCACGTGGTATCAAATCTGGATCTGTTCGCTCGACTCTAGATTTTTCAACCGAATACACGTATTATAAAACAATGGAATATACCTTATTTCACTTAACAAAAGAATGAACATTTGGTGTTGTATGCACAAATCATTTACTCAATATTGGTTTGTGATTGTATGATTAACGGTTTTTTAAACACAATAAAGTGTTTCTTGAAAATTATTCGATTCCATCATTTTCCAATGTTCAATTTCAGTTTTAGCACGACTATTACGTAGTTGAACCTTATAACGAATGAATCCATAACAATTTGGCATCATAATCGACATTTTGCAATAAATTCGACATAAGTGTCTATTAAATCTACTAAAAAATAAATGTCACTGACATTCTATAGAATCTTTCCCTTTTTCAAAAGAAATCTGGTCTATATATTCCTATTCTCCTTTACATATTTTTCAGTTAACTGATTCGCAATATTTTCATTCGCGATATGAATTAGTTATCCGAATATCGATTGATGTTTAGTATATAGAATATTCGCTCAATGAGATATACATACGGTATGTTTTCTTTACCGTCCGAAAACACCATCTTGGTTAGTGAAACGCACTTCGAGAAGAGTATATTGCATTTCTGGTTATTGGGAAAAGTGCTTGTTTTAGATTTATCCTAAGCCAGAGGTTCCAGTTTCACCTATTAGTTAAAACTAAGTTCGAAAGTAGAACGAATTATGAAATAGTTGATGAGAAATAATTTCAAAAAGGTTGATCCAAAAACGTGTTCCATGACAGAAGTCAGGATGAAGTGTGTTAAATTAACAGATTTCTAAAAAAATTGTCACCTAAAGCGTTCTCGTTTGGTAACATCAGTAGTTGACATAAAAGTAACAGCAATTTGTGAATCAGCTATCGTTCATTTTATTAATTATTATGAAGGGAATCACGAAAATGCTTGCCGCGAGATGGCGCGGCGAGATAAAATAAAAAGTATTTGAATTATGCGACAAAAAATTGAAGAATCTTTTGAAGTAGTGAGACAGCTTCCGTAGTTATTTGCAAAGAGTTCTAAATCAATCTCTCCATCGAATGACGGCATCCAGCCCGGATAACATAAGTACAAATTTCACTTCCGGCCGTGAAAGTTTAAAACTTCAATGCTGGAATTTATTTGGTTTCTTCATTATTTTTCATCGAAAGTGCGTAAGTCAAAAGCTTTTGACGAAATACCTCACATGGCAATTTTCCCCAAATGCTAGCACCACTATTTGTTCTCTTATGAACGTTCGGGATAACCTTACTACACTCACGATCAATTATCGATATTCGAAACAGTTACTTCAAATTTCTAGATCTCGATCAACAATAACGATGAAAATAATCCTTATACATTATCGGATACTTAGATTTTGACAAATGTGCGCCCTCTCTGTGAAAAATTGGAACTAAGTGAAATGACGATTCACTCGTCAACCAGATATCGCCACGGGTACGTTTCTAGCGAGTTCGAAAACTCTGCATTTTCAATTTTGTATTATATGTAAATCAAAGTTTCATTTGAAGTTCCAAGCAGTTTTCACCGCTTTATTTCTCAAATCGAAATATTTTGTAGCTGAGACATATGTGTTTTTCATTGAGTCCATTCAAAAGTTGGCCAAATACTATTAGGTGATAAAGTCACAGAACTAAAATTTCTGTATCTGTAGCTCCAAGATCTCATGTGTCAAATCAAAAAACGTTAATGAAGAAGAAGAAGATAAAAAACGTTGTTATGTGGTTATGTTTATTATTTATTTTCGTTTTTTCATTGTTAATGCGGTAGGAAAGTGAAGTTTTAAACACTAGCTTAAACGTAACTACAATAACTTGCAACTTACCATCATGGTAGGTAAGGAAATTCTGACATTACAATTTGGCCACTACTCAAACTTTGTGGGAACACACTGGTGGAACATCCAAGAACAAGGATTTGAATACAATTCCAATATCCCTTCAGAAATCAACCACGACGTATTATACAGAGAAGGGTTGTCTCCTAGGGTAAGTTAGTGAGATGTAGGTGCAAGGGAACACACAAAGTTCTTTATCTTATTGTAGGGGGAAGTAACTTTCACGCCTAGATTACTTCTCGTTGACCTGAAAGGCAGTCTCAAAACCCTACCCGAAATAGGAGAGTTGTACGAACGATTACCTCATCCTTCGGAGGTAAAGGTCGAATGGGATGAAAATCTTGTCGAGACACGACCTGGCCCGAGCGAAGTCAAAAACAAGTTCCAGGCCGACTTGGAGGACCCCGAGAAACTGCAGTCTGTATCTAAAGAAAGCTATGATTTTGACAAAGACGCTCGAGTGTGGTCAGATTTCCTGTATACTAGGTTTCACCCCAGGACAGTTAACATTGTGAAGGAATACCAGCACTGTAACGAAAACACTCCCTTCGATGCCTTTCCCTTGGGGGCTTCTCTGTGGAAGACTCCTCAGTTTGAGGAAGATTTCAGTGATAAGATCCGAAATTATATAGAAGAGTGTGATGGGTTCCAAGTTAGTATCTTCCACTCCTTGTTGTTGTTGAGTATATTTTACATGTCATTATTGTTCATGTTTTATTTCCAGGGTTTCCATGTTCTTACAGATTGCACCAATGCCTTTGGGGGGCTGACTTCTTCCTGTATGGAACACCTGCAAGACGACTATGGCAGAAAGTCGATACTGGTGTTTCCTGTGATCCCTTCACATTTTCCAGACAACGAGTACCAAACTGAAGAAGAGAAACTTCAGTCCGTTATCATAGATTCAGTCAGGATGCTGAACGTGGCGCTGAGTTTCAACGAATTCACCGAGAACTCGTCTTTGCTGGTGCCTCTTTCTGTCGGCAGCACTGGCTGGAGACAACCTGGGTTGAAAAGGGAATTCAGGAATGTAGTATATGATGTGAGTACTTTTTTGAAGTTTATTCTTCGTAACTGAAATGAGCATTTTTGCTTGTTGAAATAACAGTCTTTCAATCTAGTCCTCCACCTCATTTACTTTTAATCAAACAACTCAATCGCAAAATTTCAAAATTCGAGGATGAGGATTGTCCTAAGAACCAGTCGTGTTACTCCAATATTATTAATGCTGAGGATATTACAATGGTTCTCGGTATCTCAACAAATTTTTTATATGACTATGGTTTCATTTACAAAATAACGGAAAGAAAGTTCCTGGCTTTCTATTACTCCATCTTGATACAAAAAAAAAGTGGGAATATTTCCCTTGGAAAGAACCCTAAAGTTAGTGGATGACTTATGCTGTATATAGTTGTGTGCTGCAGTAACATTCCGTAGCGTCCTATTTTATATTTTACATTTTTAGATTGCTACTTATTATCTGCGAAATTTCTACATTGTAATGGGGTTTATCCTGTATAAATAAATAAACAAATAAAAAACACTGAATTACCAAAAAAAAAACTTTTCCCTACTCAGTTTGTATTCCAAACATCTGTTATGGAACTGAATCAGATATCATTAACAGGATTGCTACACTTTCTTTGGAAGAATCCCACATTTTTTTGCATAAAGACGGAAAAGCAGAAAGCCAAAAACTTTTTTCCCCAAAACATTAGATTAACTTCTGATGTGAACAATTATCCTACTAGAAATAATAATAGTTTATACATTTAATAAGCTATCAAATAATAATTAATCCAGTAAATCACTTATAGACATCAAAGGAAAACTTTTTGTTTTTACTATGGACACTAAATAAAATTAGCTACCACACTATGTATATATTTACATGATCATTATGTGCAATTCAATATTTCTATGTTGGATCTGTTGTGTTATGAAGGTTCGGAAATGTTAGTTTAGCACTATTGTTATGTAAGGGTTACCTATTTCAAAAAATCTGTTCCTGTATTGATAAAATATTGGTACTTGGTGAGTACCATCAACTTTAGACTATTTGAATTCCATAAATATTTTCTAGCCGAATCAATTAGTTTTTAGGCAGCATCACTTGTGAGAAACAGCTTTGCGACTTTAAATTACCAGATGGAAAAAAAGTATCGATCGAGGTAAGTATGTTTTCTCCGTGTTTCCAGATATAACAGTGGGTTTTAAACAATTTTATTCATTTATTCATTTTACAGGATAAACATACAATATGCAGTCATACACAATATTTTACATGAATATTGCAATATAGAGTCCTTCAATTGAAAATTTATGCTGTCCAACCTTCAATGTTGAAACACAAAATTGTGTAGTTTTATCTAGCTGTCCCACAGCTCAGTTTGAATAACAACCGTCTCGTCTTTACCTTCCGAAAACACCATC